TACAACAGTTCTCACAGGCTATGTAGTGCTTCCTGTGACTTGCTAATTGAGTTTGATGTGTAAAGTAGGTGGATTCATCATTAATGTCTAGTGTCAGTAAATCTGGACAAACAAAGAAAAATGTGGCTCTGCACAGCTCTTAACAATATTTTGGGTCATTCTGGTATTAATCTTCACAGACACCATATTGCCTTGTGGTCTCAACCAGAAACCAGGTCTTTCAATCCATCCCACCCCCAAGCTTTCATCCAGTGCCTTAGAGAGAAGGCTGTGATTAATGCCTTGTGTAGCTAACCTAGGATACATAAAAAACCAGAACACACACACCAGCCAGCACTTACACTACAAGGCCAAAGGCCTGTGGTCAGTGGTTAGCATTGGATGCTAACTGGCACAGTTCCCCTGCGCTGTGGCCAATCTAGAGGACAAGCTCAATAGCTGTGACAACGTGAGCCACGTTACCAAAATGGCTGCTGTTCAAAAGTCAAAGAAGATACACAAGGGGAGAAACAAGTCACCAGAATTTATTAAAGGAATTTTCCAAGGGTTTTTTTATCTGTTGGTCACCAGAGGAAAGATTGTGGCTGGATGCTTGGCATAGGAAACATACAGCACACAAAAAGGAGAAAAATAAACTGAAGCAGGGAGGTGTAATTACCCTCTGAGTGTGTGTGTGTGTGTTTATGTGTGTGTGTATTTCCATGTCTGTCTGCACTATCCAGTGATGATCGCCCAAACTGCTTCCCCTCACCCTGTGTCTAAAATTCTCCCCAGGCCTGAAATTACTGGATAACAAACACACACAATTATTTCCAAACACACACACTAGAGGTCAAAGGTTGAATGAAACTGGCGGTTCTGGCTCCACGTGGCTACGCCAGGCCATTTGACTCTAACTGGAGAGCTGCAGGAGCTGCTCCACCCTCCTTGCACACTGCCAACAAAACAACATCACGCCAGCCTCTGTGCCAGGCTGAACTTCTGCTGCAGAAACACGGCCAGACAGGCTAACCCTAGCCAACAAGCAAATACACTTTAGATTCTATAAGTATACTATAAAATATATTTGTATAAAAGCGTAAAGTGCATTAACAATACTACAGACAAGGCAGCTAACTCAAATCTTGAATGAGTAAACAGGCATTTCTCTTTTTCACAGAAAGGAAGTTCTCTTCCTTCATTGCTGATCCCAGTAAGGGGCTAAAGGGACAGTTTAGTCCCTGCATAACTGGTCCGAGCAGGTTGCACCAACCCAGTGAAAGGCTGAGCTGAGCAACCAGCGGGCGACAGAGGCAGACCTGCTTTCCTTCCTCTCTTCTTCTTATCCTTCCATGCTTCTCTCCACTATGACTATGAGGCCACAGTTTCTGTGCGCCGGCCTGAGGTAACCAAAGCTTTCACTACCAAGCTAACTCAATTGAACGAGCCTTTTTAAGAACTACAGTCACTCCCTTCCTCCCCCCGCTCAATGCGAAAAGGGGCTCATTGTGTCACACTGGACTACTGTAAAGCATGTAGAGTTAGCTGGAGTTACCACAGACAAAATCCCTTTCAGGGTCTCTTGAGCTCTCTGTACCTAGGCTTCCTTTTCATCATCTGACCCCCTCCCTGCACATATACACACATGCAAAATCATATGGTACACACACGACAACACATACACACAAAAGCTCTGAGAGGAAGAAACATACACAGCCTCAGATCCTCTTTGGCAGCCTGCTTACACTCTGGCATTGCTGCTACAGAGCGTCATCTCCACTGATCGCCAGCTTGTTATAGGATTTACATTTGCTCAGAAAATCCCATGAGACAGATGAACACACACAAAACCCGACCAACACGTTCAACTCAGATTTCCTAGGAAGTAAGTATGAGTGTGACCGCCGCATCATGACATTAAGTAACATTAGGTAAAAATACCCCAAAACACAGCGTGGCACTGATGACATCATCAGTTTTAACCTCAGGTCCATCAGGGACGCTGAGACCTTTACTCAGTTTTTGTCATGCTGCAATACATACAACTGAGGGAGGCTGTGGACAGTACAGCCTTGGAATCCCTGCCCTCTGAGGCACAAACCCACAGGTATTCACTGGTTTTAGCAGATTTCTTCTCAAATGAATCAATGGAAACAGTGAATGGAGAGACTTGCCATTTTTGGTTACCACCCATTCCTTATAGAAGGTAGTGAAAGCCCCCTTTCTTCAATTTACTGACCTGACTAAAACATTCAGTGAGTAGGTAAGGCCACTGGGAATGCCCAGTAACACTCCTAAACTTCAGGAGATGCGGGTTTTATGAAACTCCCTGTTATTTTCAAAGGCCTTTTTACTTAAATCTGCTCCTCCCATCCCCCACCTCCTTTCCTATACAGTCTTTTTATTGAATTATTTTTAGTGGCGTACATTTTATGAAAATGTTCTTCACTGTTGCAGAGGTTTACTTCAGGAAAGATGAAAAACTGAGCCTTGATAATGTGAAAAAAACTTTTCAATTGTCTAACTCAGAATAAATGATCAAATACTTAATGCAACATTACTGTACTCATGTTCAAAAGTTCAAAAAAATTAAAAGTTCATGAAGTTTCACTGTTGTTTCATGAGCCCGGCTTTATCATGCCAGGCTTCTCAAGGGACATCTCTTTATTTTATCCTTTCACTCAGGTCAGAGAAGAGAAGAGGTCTGACGTCGCCACAGAGAGAGGTGCCTCAAACAATATCAGTAAATGACCCAGTCTGAAAATTTTCTCAACCCTTGACACAGGAACGCATAGGTGCACACCTATCGCTGAAGGCAAATCAGCTTCAAGGTATCAGGGTAAACAGCAAGCATGTGTGTCTTTGTGTGTCAGCCTGAGTCTGTGTTTCTGTTATGCAATGGAAGAGTTCTTCCCATCTGTGCCTCTCCGCAGCCCCCGCATCCCTGACCAGTGAAGTGAGAAACGACAGCTCTGCCTTGCACTCTGCCTCCCTCGGTCTTCCTCACAACACCATCCCACTCCTCATTATTATCATCTACCACCCACCAAAAACACACTCTTTTTTCCCATTGACTATCCTCTCTCTGTGTGCTGGTTAGCATTCACTATACACGACCAGGGCACAAAAATTATGCATTGGTCATTGTTACCATCACCTTCACTGTCAACATCAAGCCAGTCTGCCTTCAGCTTACACCCCTAATAGAAAACAGGACCACTCTGTAGGGTCTCTTATGCTTAAATTCCAGATTATACCAATAAATGCATTCCTGTCTGCAACTGATGCCCCTGCCCATCCTCCATCTCCATCCCTGCTCTTCCAGCTTGCCTAACTCCCCACAGGGCTCATTGTTGTGGAAAAGATGTTAAAACAAAGAGAGCAGACAGCGCAGCGATAATCCTAAACACAGCAGCTGCAGAATTTGCTAGCCATGTGGCGGGTACTTGCACTTCTGGGTTTACTCCTACCTGTTCTTAATTGATGATGCTTCTCTGTTACTTGCCATCGGGAAGGGAATTAAAAGGAAGATGGATTTCACTTTCTCTGAAAATACCTCGGTGATGGTTTTCCAGACAGGATGCGATCCTGTACTTAGTCAATTGCATCCTGTCTGGAAAAACATTTTAGCTAAGGGCCACTATGTCAGTGGTTCTATTGAAATAAATTAATTATAGATGCACAGAGACCTGACCTCTGTTCAGGATATTTAGGCAATAATCAGTATAGGGTTTCAGACAGCAATGCTCTCCTAGAGTGATGACAGCTATGCCTTCAGTTCTGAATAATGTACAGAGGTCCAGCAGCAATTGGGCTTGGTATCAATTAAATAAGCTCCATTGTACAATTTTTTTTTTTATCTTGTGTTTCTATGGCCATATCTAATACTCCCCTAATACTTTCACCTTTTCCCAGTTCATCCTGCACCAGAGTGGGCATGTGATGCCAACACCCTGCTGTCTGTCTGGTCCAGCAGGAAGCCAGTCCCAAATCTGTTACAATATAGCGGGTGCTAAAACACTACTCACTTCTACAGCAGAGAGCCATAAAGAGACAACATGGCAAAATGTGCACAACAGCTATAAACAGCACCTTGGTAAACAGCACTCCATGTCTAAAGATTCTGTCAAATATTTGAACTACTAAAGTAGTGTTTGGTTTTACTTCATGTGAGCTGGCACAGGCTCTACAATGGAAACTTTACTGAGGAATTACAGTAAACTAAGCCATCCTAATGGGCTTCTCAAAGCAACACACTCCACTGTTGTTGTGCTGGAGCCTGGAAGCCAGGATAGCCAGTGGCCATGTCTTTAGCTCCAGGCTGCACATCAACAGTATCTGCTATAGCTGCTGTTTATTTCCAGGTGGCATCGCTTAAAGGCTGCAATTTAGTGGTTAAGGATACTGAAGATAATTGTTTGGAGAGATTAGGGTGGGTTTCTTTTGTCCTGGTCTGTGCTTTGAGCTGGTAAGAGAGTTTCAGATTGACTTTCAGGGAATTGTCTTCTACCCTGCCATGTTTAAGACAGACAGAAAGAGAGACAGGTAGACAGACAGCTACCTGTGAGTGGAATTCCACACTCAGAAGTTACTTGAGAAAGATTAGAGCTGCAGTTTCAGCTCAGACTGACCGCATTTATTGTTCACCCACCCGACTGACATTCCAGAAATTAGCAGAGGTGGATCTTTCATCTCTCCCACGTGGAGCCATCCAAAGGACACAGTCCTATGTGTTTGCATGCAAGCACACACTCATGCTCACAGCATTGATTACTTGAACATTTGGCTGCTTTGTGTTTTTAAGAGGAAAGACATATTAAGTGAAGAAAAAGGTTAAAAATGCAAACAAACTGATGCCAACATAAATCCAGTATGACTAAATTACACTGATTCATTCAGGATTTTGTTCATTTTTTCTTCTTCCACACACAACCAGGCATTCTGTTACTGAAATGTCTTCTGCACTCCAGCCCACCTGCTCCCTACCACAACAAAGATTAGATAAAGCAGCCCCCACTCACCCAGGTGGTCTCCATGGAAACTGTTGTCATGAGATGTTCTACCATGGGGCAGGAGGTCATGATGGGCAGCAGGTGGCCAGATTTGACCAGTCTTACGTACACTCACAATAGTGGCCTCAGACATGACCACGTGGCCTCCCTGCTGCCGGTGGTGACGCTTCTGGGACTGCGGCGTTGGAGGACTGCTGCTGTCAAAGGAATGCTGAGAGTTCTGGGAATTCTGGGATGGGGAGCGGCTCTTTTCTCTGAAAGGCCTCCGGAAGGCCGTGGTGGGGCTGGGTGAGACATGGCTGGACTGGCCTGAGGAGAAGTCCTCCTCACTGGACGTAAGGTTCTCGTTGGAGCTGCAGTCTGGCGTGTACCCACCACCGCCACCAACATCTTCAAAGCTACCTGGGGAGTAGGAGCGGCGCGGCCAGGTCAGGAGGTGGTCGTCACCTCCCCCATGGTCTCTCATTGTGACTCCACTACCACCTCCACCACCACCACCTCTCCCATCTCCACCACCCCCTTCCCCCATCATCACCCCACCAACATAGACACTGGAATAGGCCTGGAACTCAGAGGGTTGCCAAGGTGGGGGTGGAGGTTTGCCCCCGTTGGCCCTCCCTGAAAGTCGCTGGTTGGGTTCCCCGTCTTCATATTCTGCATCATAACCACAGGTGCTCTCAGTTGACCGTCCTTTGTACACTGGCCTGTTACGGAGCTCCCCTGCCACTGTTGCCAGGTTACCTGGGAGGGAGTGAAGGGATCTCTTTCGTTCCATCTGCATGGCCTGGCTGCCTAGGGAGCTGATCTTGTCAGAGACGTCACGGTCGTTGACTCTGACCAGACCCCTCTCATGGTGGAATTCCATGTTGGTGTAGAACGGCGGTGGCGGCGGTGGAAGCTGCTTTTCCTGACCCTTAGCTACATCACCTGCAGAGTGAGAGTTGGCTCGTTTGATTCTTTCAAAGTTAGATCTAAGAGCTGCCACACCAAGTCCCATCCCCACTTTGTCTTTTGGGTCAGAGGGCAGTTCCTTGTCTGGAGGTGGAAGTGTGGGCCTGCGGGGAGAGACAGCGATGCCTCCTCTCTGCTTGGATGGGGACAGGCCATCCAAGTTGTCACAGGATGTTGACTCAGCCTGCTGGGGTGAGTCAAAGGCCGACTCCAGACCATCTCCATGGGAGGCTGACTTCCGGGCTGGTGGAGGCCTGGGTTTGGACCTTGCAGCTCCATCTCCATGAGGCTGAAAACGGCCCCTATCCACAACACCCCCACTACCACCACCATACCCTCCACTACTTCCTCCTACTCCAACTCCACCAGTCTCCTGCATATGTGGCTGCTGGGACTGGGACTCTGCACCCTGAATGGATGCAGGATCCACCCCCTCGTTCAGAGGTGTCTTCCTGAAGCCCCATCTCTGCTTGTCATAGCTCTTCCTCTCCTTGGCCAGGAGGGTCTGCAGGTAAATCATGCGAAAGCGCTCCTTGTTCACCTCCTGCTCCAGGCGCCTAATGGATGCCTTGCACTTCTCCAGCTCTTGCTCGATGCCTCCGACAGACCGCAGCTCCATCTTGGGGGGTTCAGACTCTGGGAACTGCGCCTTCCACGCCTCAATGAATCCCACCGGCTCCACCATATTGTGCCTAATTTATTAATGTGACCGACTCTGGTCTCACACACAGGGGTAAAATGATTCCCCTTGGTGAATAATGCCCCCTCTTAGTCCAGTTCGCCACAGCGTCCTTATCGAAAACAATGGCCACGTCCAGCTGGAAAGCAGTGACAGTGCTGATCACAGGCCTTAAGGTAACCCGTTCAGAAACGCACAGTCTAATCGCTGACACTTGTCGTAGGTTGCGCAGTCGCAACAATACATCCCACTCTGAGCAAGAGAAACCGGCTGTTCAGTCAAAGGAATAAGTGATGTATGACACATAAAAAGGAGTACAAAACTGTAAAAGAGCTGGTCTTTCTCATGCATTATTCAAGAACAGGCCACTTCCAAAAGAAGAATTAAAAAAAAAAATCTCACCCTCGACACAATGACAGTAACTGTCTTCAGGGGGAAACACGGGTGATCTGACTTCCAGGGAAAATAAAAATAAGAAAGTGTTTTAATCCTGTCAGTTTTACTCACAGAGCACTGTCGGACCGTTTACTCCTGCCTATTCATATGGCAGTAATCCCAGGTGCTGCTGCTCCAGGCCGAGCGCCTTTGTACCAGCAACGCTCAAGGAGAATGGATAAAAAAGCGCAAAACACAAGCGATGAGAACAGCCGAGTTTCTCAGTGGAGGTGATCAAGCTGTGTCATCCGGCCTAAGTAAACGATTTGTTTCATTATCCCATATTCTCCATGACACGTTTGTGATGTGGTTTGCTTTTCTGCTCTTTTCCAGAATTGTGCCGTGTCTTTGGCCCTGATGGTGCTGCTGTGTGTGCGCTCCTATCTCAGACCAGCAGCACTGGAGGGCTGCAAGAATGGGAGGGACCAGAGTGACAGCGAGCTGGTTAAAGAGACAGGGCAGAGATGCAGTCACCGCTCGGGTAGGAGTCCAGGCTTCATGCTCTGGTTATGATATTCAACTGTTCAAACGTATTTTCATACCTACAATTTAAGTCTTTTGCATGAGCCTTAATTTAAGTCACTAAAGGTCTGACATGTCTCTGTAAAACATGCCACATTTGGTATTGTTTTACTGTTGTACGAGTTCTACTTTGTGCCAAGAAAATGCACATCCAGCTACATTGAACAAACATGACTTATTTTAAAGCCTCCACTTAAATTTCTACAGTTTCATGAAACATTAAGTTACTACTACTCACAATACTTCTAGTATTATAAAACGTTTATACTTTCAACTATTAATAAAGGTAATATCAGTATATTGCTCCTTCTGTTTTCCTTTAAAAGGAGTACCTGCCAGATAGGTGCTAAAACTCATGTGGGTGTACTGTTGGCATCTTTAACCCAACGCCGCCATCCAGTGGACTAATAAAGTCTATGTGTGTGAGCCATAATGAAAAAAAAAAACCTGTAATATTCTCACTGTAGAGCTTTTTATTAAAATGTTAGCCAATTGTCTTTTTTCCAACCTTATACATGACTACTTATGTAAAACTCAAGAACAAATACTGTCATGCAAAAATACATTACTCATGTCACTGGAATAAAATAAAGACAATTCAAATACTATATTTTATTTACCTGAAACCACAATCTCCGTAATGGGTGTACGATCATTATTGTTATCCAATAGTGGTCGTCTTTTTACACACACATTAATATTGTTCTTTGACTGTCTCTGAGGGGACTGCATGGGTCCCCTCGTGTTAGATCACAGTTTTACAGCAATTGCTGAAGATACATAATGATAAGAATGCAGAGGCAATAAGAAAACAGAACACTGTTGTAAAGCAGAATTACCTGTCAACGTTAGTCTGCTGTCCTCACTGCAAATGACTAAAACTACCCCACATTAACTAAAAGAAAAAAAAACAAAACTATATTAAAAAATTTTTTTTAACTCAAGTAGAGCACAGTCAAGTTCAGTATGAGTCCATTGTGCAAATTACCCAAACCATTACAATAAACAGATTTCCCATATCTATGATATATCCATCTTAATGTCATTTGAGTATTATATATTAGAATCTATAAATACAAGCTAGAAAGCCTAAATACAGCTGTAACGCATGCATGATTTTTATACACTCAAGTACAACTAAGACCATACAATCCCATGATTTAAAGATTCTTTCAGCTACCACCAAAGTTGGAAATAAGTTGTTCCTTGCATGAAGTTGAGAACTTCCCTGCACACAAAACTGCAGTGTCATTAATATAGCATCTGTATACAGAAAGTGTGTTAAAAAGAATGTGTTGCTGTGTGTTGTAGTGCACGGGGCAAAGGGAACTGCTTTTCCAGCCCAACCACTTTTTAAGTGTACCCTTAAGTATTTGGTCTTTTTACTGCAAAAGCATCCATTTTTGTTTTCTGTGCAAAAGGTACACACACTGCTGGTCATCATGGCGTCTGAGGTGTGCAACATCAAAGTGAGCACCCATCTGGATGGTAGGATGACTCCAGCCTTTGAGCTCACTCCCACATTATGCCAAACTTTTATGCCAGCCAACCTAAACAGAGAGAGGAGAAAAGAAACTTAGTCCAACACTTTAAAAATTCCAAGACCAATGTATAACTGTACATTTTCTGCCACATTCTCAGGAGTACATATCAGTTTGGTGAATATAAGCACGTGTCAGAGGGGTGAAAAGAACCACGGACAGTGACATTCACAATAGTGGCATGTGGTCAACATCGAGGCAAAGTTTCTCTGGGTTTCTCTATGGATTGTAAACCTATAACCACTACCTTTCATGCACCTAATGAGACATTTTACTCTTAAAACCCTTAGAAAACCAACTTCCCAAAAAACATCTCATGGTAGAAAAATCTTAATTTCAGGAAATGTGTCTCTGAAAGGTTTCTTTAGATTCTACTGTAGTGAAGTGGTATTTAGTAGAGTATGAAAAAGACAAATGGATACTCACTCTAGTGACAGGGGAGCCAATGGAAGGCATTGAGGAAGAAAGCACACAGTTGTTAAGTGGAACACATACACAGTGTGAACACCCCCCCCCAAAAAAAACATGCTTTAGCTCTCAAAACATGGAAATGCCCATACAAAAATGATGCGCTACGGATTAGTGTAACTGACTGTATGCGCACTGATCCACTATGTGGATCACTACTACAAAGAATGGTATGCAAAGAACAAACTAAGACTTCCAAATTTTAAAGCCTAGCAGAGAGAAATATACACAAGATTGGTGTCAGTGTGTCATGAATATCTCCTGGCTATCATGTGGTGCCAAAGAACTGAAGCATTCATATTGTCTGAAATTATTTGTATTCAAGTATCATATGTACTTACAAAAACACTAGATTTGAATGTTAACCACTGGACTCAACATTAAATAAAGACACTAAACACTTTTGATTCAAAGGGTTCAAGAGTGTGTATTTGTCCTTGAAGTAACAACAATTTGGATACTTCTTGGCAATCCAAGTTGATTCGGAGTACTTGTATTAGTATTTTCTTTACTCAGTATTACTGTCCTTTGAATCAAATGCCATGGAGATGGTTATAATAAATCACCCCCAACCAGTTCTGTCTCTAAAGCAAAGCACAAATAAAGTTAATCAAAATTCAATACAAACCTAATATGTCCTTAAAAAATGTTAAAGGGAAGAATTTTTTTTTCCTTTTTCTGCACAAGCAAATAGGGGCACACCTCAGATGTTATGTTTTAGCAAGACCGTTGAGGAAAAGCATCTCGAGATGAGCAAAACAAAAAAACAAAAACTTATGATATTGAGGTAGCTGTGCTCTGCCCAGTGCAGAAAACTGGCTTATTTTCAATCCTTATAGTAAAAAAAACACATCCATGAAGTTATTTTATACTCTAACATGGGGGGGAACATATACAATTAAATTAGAAATGCTAAACCACACAGAGTTCATGCTTGGTCACAGGACATGCGGCTTTTGTTTTTCAGGATTTTTTTTTTTCTTTTCAGCATTCAACGTTCACTCCCAAACCTTTCACCCGTCGTAGTCTGCCACACGGAGGTTGTCCTCTCTGAAAGAGTTCTGAGTTTATACTGAAGACACAATGGTAAACATTTGAAAAATAAATCAAGGTGGTGTGTTTAAGCCACGCTGGTCAAACAATTTACAAAGCCATAAAAAAGTTGCATAAAATAGTGTTCATTCTCTGTACAACTTAATGGACTTCAGATATTTTAAATTTCCTTTTCATAAGGAGGGAAACTTCAACAAAATTTACTGTTGTTAAGGTAGTAATATGAGACAAATGATATTCCCAAAACCGTTAAAAACAAACCTTAATGGCAGTATTGACATAAAAAAAAAGGCAACAGTATGTTTTCTTTTAAACCAGCAACAATTCCACAGCTAGGGGAGTGATGATCTCTTAACACTCGTATTTAAAGCCTCACCCATTCACACCTCCTATCCTGACTGACAATGGGAGACTCCAAGGTTATAACATTGTATAACAGTATTTGTTACGTTTCATGTGCTAATGTTGGTCCTTCTCGTACACACAAGAGGAATGCACAGGTGCACACACACTAAGTCTACAAACGCACACACACTAACTATGCACATGTAGGAAGGCAGAGAGGGAGGAGGGAGAGGAAGAGAGAAGTGATGGTGGTGGTGGAATGGAAAAGTTGAAGTTGTGCTCAAGTCAGTCAGGACCAAAACATGTCGGTCATGTTAGTGTCGCAGCTGTAAATCCAGAGGACCAAGGGGAGGGCAATGGCCACAAAGGGCCAGGAGATGCCCTCCATACATGCAGACACACGCTTCTCCAGATCTTTACCAGGCTCCAGGTAGTTCCTGGCTGCAAACTTGAGCATCTCGTCTAGTAGAATGACAGGCAGCGAGAACTTGAGCACCATCAGCCACTGTGTCAGATTCAAAGGGGTGATCTGAAAGATGATCTGAAAAGAACAGAAAAAAAAACCCACTGTGGATCAGTCTGCATGGTACACGAGACTAAATAGTTTTAGTTTTGACAGCAGCATAATTAATTCCTGTATCATGACAATGCTTTAATTCTGTGTGCTCCTCATTACACAGCATCAAAGTCAAACTAAAGGAAGTATTTCTCACTGGAAGAGGCTCCACATAGAGGATGAGGAAGTGAAGGGACATGGAAAGGCAGATGGCTCCCAGCAGCCACACGTTCTCCCAGGGAGGCATACGCAGCAGGGACTGGTTCTCTGACACACTAAGGAACAACAAAGACAAATGGGCCTGTTTGTTAAAATCTCAAGAGTCATTACTTAGAAATACAGCAATTGATCTTTATTAGCTGACATAAAACATGGGTTGTGTGTGGAAGCAGAAAAAGAAATGAAAACAAAGATGCTGTATGTACAGTGCCTTGCGAAAGTATTCGGCCCCCTTGAACTTTGCGACCTTTTGCCACATTTCAGGCTTCAAACATAAAGATATAAAACTGTAATTTTTTGTGAAGAATCAACAACAAGTGGGACACAATCATGAAGTGGAACGAAATTTATTGGATATTTCAAACTTTTTTAACAAATAAAAAACTGAAAAATTGGCCGTGCAAAATTATTCAGCCCCCTTAAGTTAATACTTTGTAGCACCACCTTTTGCTGCGATTACAGCTGTAAGTCACTTGGGGTATGTCTCTATCAGTTTTGCACATCAAGAGACTTAAATTTTGCCCATTCCTCCTTGCAAAACAGCTCGAGCTCAGTGAGGTTGGATGGAGAGCATTTGTGAACAGCAGTTTTCAGTTCTTTCCACAGATTCTCGATTAGATTCAGGTCTGGACTTTGACTTGGCCATTCTAACACCTGGATATGTTTAGTTTTGAACCATTCCATTGTAGATTTTGCTTTATGTTTTGGATCATTGTCTTGTTGGAAGACAAATCTCCGTCCCAGTCTCAGGTCGTTTGCAGACTCCATCAGGTTTCCTTCCAGAATGGTCCTGTATTTGGCTCCATCCATCTTCCCATCAAGTTTAACCATCTTCCCTGTCCCTGCTGAAGAAAAGCAGGCCCAAACCAGGATGCTGCCACCACCATGTTTGACAATGGGGATGGTGTGTTCAGGGTGATGAGCTGTGTTGCTTTTACGCCAAACATAACGTTTTGCATTGTTGCCAAAAAGTTCGATTTTGGTTTCATCTGACCAGAGCACCTTCTTCCACATGTTTGGTGCGTCTCCCAGGTGGCTTGTGGCAAACTTTAAACGACACTTTTTATGGATATCTTTAAGAAATGGCTTTCCCTAGCATGCAGTAAATAACTGGAACATGCAAAGATCTGGTGTTCAGTTGGTCACACAGAGAGCAGTGGAAACATTTAAATATAGTTTTTATTTTTGCTGAACCAACCTGTTCAGGGCATTGCACATCTCAATGGTGACCAGCACAGACAGGGCCATGGTCATAGGGTATGGGGACTCAAAAATCTTACAGTCCATATTCTGGAAGTCTGGATTCTCTGGACCACACTGTAGGAAGTGGCTCTGTAAGAAGTGTCAGGGAAAACATTACACAGCAGTTAATGTATAGAATTGTTATTACATTATTGTTGTATAGTGGATTTGAAAAATGATTGTTGTATTGGGGGGGAAGAATGCCTTGAAATAATAACTGATGAATATAAGTTTGTCTGCTATGGTGTGCTGAATTGATCAGTGTTTAGCTGTAGCTCATACCAGTTGGTAAAAGCTGATCTTTGGACCATCCTCAGCAGCAACAAACCACCAGGCAGCAGCACCAACAGTGGCAGCACCAACATAACCTGGTGATGCAACCCAAAAGGACATCATTCATATACATATTCAATGACACAGATGCCTGGTTGTTTAGGAGGCAAATTAACTGTGAGTAGTGATTACCTATATCACATCTACTTTCACATCATATTAATGTGGCAAATTTGAACTAAGTAGCAAATAGCAGCCTTAGTGCATGGTTGCCTGCTGGTGATAGATGCCTCCATGTTTCTGCCAACACTTATGCATTAACAAAGAAAAAAGCTAATTTAAAAGTGTCACACACATGGCACACACACTCCCGGCCACAATCTCCCCACTTACATCCAATGGCTAGGTATCTGAAGAAGAGCCATCCAGAGATGAGGGGCTCACGGGCATTGCGTGGGGGTTTGTTCATGATGTCCAGGTCTGGTGGGTTGAAGCCTAAGGCAGTGGCAGGCAAACCATCAGTCACCAGGTTGACCCAAAGCAGCTGAACAGGGATGAGAGCTTCAGGGAATCCCAGAGCAGCAGTCAAGAAGATACTACACACAAAAGAAACATGATTATCAAAGAGTAAATGATATTGTGTACTGTCAAAGCATGATGTGCATGTCAGAGGGGGTAAGTGGTACAGAAAAATGGAGCACGTTTGTATAACATGTTGTAACATCCTTACCACACAACTTCGCCCACATTTGAAGAGATGAGATATCTAATGAACTGTTTCATGTTGTTATAAATGGCTCTTCCTTCCTCAACTGCAGCTACAATGGTGGCAAAGTTGTCATCAGCCAGCACCATCTCAGAGGCGGTCTTGGCCACCGCTGTGCCTGAGCCCATGGCAATGCCGATCTCAGCCTTCTTTAGAGCAGGAGCATCGTTTACACCATCACCAGTCTGAGAGAAGCAAAAACCAGGGCAGCAAATTATAAATCCAGTATGATTTCAATGTTTTACATTGTGTAACTATTAATCTGTACGTGAAAGACAATTTTTGCTTTAAATGTCATTTACTTATGCCCTTTCTTCTTACCATAGCTGTAATCTCATCATAGGACTGCAGATATTCAACAATCTTGGATTTATGTGAAGGCTCAACACGGGCATAGCAGCGGGCCTTGACCACAGCTTCTCTTTGTGCAGCAGGTGACAGATCATCAAACTCTCGGCCAGTGAAAGCCATCTTGGAGACGTCATCATCCTCTCCAAAAATACCAATCCGTCTGCAGATAGCCACTGCTGTCCCTAAAATGTAAATGAAAGCAAATTATTTACTTCTTAATGCTGCTTGGAATGCAAGTATAACTGACAATTTTCTTTGTGTGTAGTGGTAGAATACTATGCTGAAAATACTACAAATATAATATTATGTTGAACTCAACATTGTAAAAAAGAGGCTTTGATTTCACTATGCCAAATTTTCTCTGTGAGCAGATGTGACTTTGGGTACATACCCTTGTTGTCTCCAGTGATCATAATTACTCGGATGCCTGCAAGACGGCAGAGTCTAATAGAGGCTGCCACCTCTGCTCTGGGTGGATCCAGCATGCCCACACATCCAACAAATGTCAAATCAGTCTGGATGACAGGAAGTTAAATAAATGCAAGTTAATAAAGTCGCACCATATTATGCAACCAAGAAACTAACACTGTGGTGAAAGCTTTAGGAGAATCCAGTGACCATGTCAATCTGTCCTGGCCCTCACCTCATACTCAACAAAGCGGGTCGAGTCCTCCAACACCAGTTCATCTTTGTTCAAGGGGTTGTCTCGGGTGGCCAGAGCCAGACAGCGCAGGGTGTCCCTCCCAGTTCCATATTCTCTGATCACAGACATTAGTTTTTCCTTGATCCCAGGGGTCAAAGGAACCTTGTTACTGCCTACACGGATATGTGTGCACCGATCAATCACTCCCTCGGGGGCTCCCTATGAGTAGGCACATATTGGAGAATGACAACCATAAAGAAAAAACAAAACAAAACAGGTATGGAAGATAAACTGTTTATTTTGTAACAATCTAAGGAAATCACAGTATTCAAAACGGCCAATATTGTTTGATGATAAAGACTAAGTGTAATGATTATTATAGCACTACCAAGCTAAAGAACAGAACAATAATGTCTAGTGACAAGTCATGTTTTTTTTTATGTCACAGCCTGGGATGACTGAAATCCTACAGTAATATTCAATACAGGGTTGAACCATTAATTGTTTTCAAATCGATATCACACTTTAACTGAACATGATTTTCAAGCTGCAATTCAAAGTGTCATTGAAACATGGCTTTAAACACTATGAATTTTAAACAGTCTGAGTGGCATCCCTACAGGCTTCAGGCACATGCACTCTGTTCTGCAGGCTTCATGTGAAACCTGCAGGGTAAAGTAGTGAATCGAATAAGAGACAGAAATAAGCTGCACTTTGGTGCTGCTAGCCACACTGAAAATAACCACAGCAGTCAGCAAAACATTGACAACCAAGAAACAGTGTCAAATCAAAACAGTAGGTTACGTCAGGCGTCTATTTTGCTTTTAGACCAGAGGTTGCGTGGTAGGAACATGCACGGCTAAGATGGCAGCAACATGGGGCACCATAAATTTCTTCCAGCATTAAATTAACAAAACACAGTTGCCACCTGTCCCTTATAATAATATAAGATGGTCCCTTTCGATAAATACAATGCTCTTTGCCATTGTCCTGTATTGGATCAATACTGTGCACACACACTCACTGGATCAATATGGGTTGCAACTAAATTTATTATCCAGTAGTGAAAACATTGTAATAGTAGGCCAAGTAAAACTAAACCAGTTTAGAAAAGCTGTGAGATCAGAGGGATCAGTAACTGTGCAGACAACAGAGGATTCAGGACCTGTGAGTCCAGTACCAACACCAGTCAGGTTTTACAGCATAAGAATTTATTTAGCAGGATGATGTTAGTTTTCTGCTCTTGTTTCATTAGAAATTCTAATAGTCTGTGATAAACTCAGATCTGTAGAATTTTATAAATGGGGAAAAAAAAAAAAAAGAAAATGCCTCCTCTGTATTTACTGCTGTAAAGTTTGAATTCTAATCTCACACTCTATAGCCCTATAGCCAAATAGCTAGTTATAGAAAGGAAAGTGAAAAAAAAAGAAAAACAATTTAATACAAAGTCAAATTAACAGCAGTGAACTTGAGGGTGTTGGGTTTGTCTTCCTATTCTCATTTAGAGTAAAGGTTGTTTTCAATGAATAATACAGAAGGGCAAAATAATCGCATATTAAATCGTATTTGTAATATTTCTCAAAAAAATTCACAATTAGATTTTCCCAAATCATTCACACCCAACTCAGTGTTTTCATTTCTTACCTTTACAAACATCTTGCCAGCAGAGGAGTGAGCTTTATTAGGAGTGCAGTACACAGACATGGACTTCCTGTCTCGGGAAAACTCCAGAGTAAACTCTTTCTTCATCAGCTGCTTGATCACCTAAAGCATATTAAAAGACAATTGTTATTTAACAGGATTGTTATACTTTCCATATTTAGTTGACTTCATGCTATTTTAACTGATCACAGAACAAAGCCTGAAAGGTCAGTTTGCATGTAATGACAAAAAAAAAAAAAAAAAAAAACTGGAGTACATGCTGAATTACAGGCGTTGGCTCGCTCAATCTTGGAGAGGCTTTTAACATTTGTATCAAACACATTCATCTTCTCCACCAGGCACGAGAGAGCCGTCTCTGTGGCCTCACCCACCTTTTCATACGCACCTTTGGTCTGGACATAAAGACACAAAAAGAAAACATCATACAGACAATCTTGACACTCAAGAATTACATGACGGTTAAAATGCAAAAAATAAATAAATAAACAAACAACAATAATATGCCACCAACCTCATTATAGTCCAATGAGGAATCATTACAGAGAGCACAGATGGAGGCCAGCTCCACCAGGGCATCGTACTGGGAACATCTGACTGGTTTACCATCATGGAATCTAAAACCAGGGATATATTAAAAAAAAAAAAAAAAAAAGGACTAATAAGCACAGTGGTAAACATAAAAGAAATGCTCATTTTAACTTAGAACAATCTCTTGAAGTAGTGTATGCTTGATTTATTTTATTACAAATTGTTTCCATTTTAATGCTCACAGGCTGAAGACTGAATACTCACACTTCTCCATCTGGGGCATATGTGGATCCAGTAATAGCAAACTCCTTTAAGGAACAGTGATCACCCTCTGCTCGGTCAATGATAAACATCTAGAAGCACAAAGATCATAGAGACAAACTCTTAGTTCATAATACGACATAAACAATGTGTGGGTAAATGACGCACGAAGAGATCAACAGGAAAAAGCTGAGAACATAAACTTAATGTGTGGGTAAATGGCATACGAAGAGATCAACAGGAAAAAGCTGAGGAGCTGAGGGACAATGCATCCAGCAGGCGGCAGCAGACTATAATAGATAGGAAAGAAACCACTAGATTATGAGTCCACTTGAACATAGAACAGGGTATATTGAAATTCTGGGCCAAAGCAGGCACTAAGCACTGTGGTGGAGAGGGGCCATAAATGTCACCTTACAAAAAGACAGACAGGATTCCTCAGTGTGCAGTCACACTACATAAATACACTGCATAAAAGTGGATCACTAAGGTGGAAAGAGTTTGACCTTGAGTACCCAAACCTTTGTGTAAGCAGAGTAGTTGTGGTTTCTGATTTATACAAGGCCTTTGAATTTTATAAAGTGTTTCACTTGTAATGATTGAGTTGTTCATTAACCCCAAAAGTATCCATATTACACTATGATAGAAATGTCATATCAGTAGAAAACCCTACAGTAGAACCACGGCTGTCAACAGTATGATTTCGCTATGACAAAACATACGTTTACATCCAAAGAAGCACATTAGGCCAAAACTGAGAGGGGTAGGACACAGATGCACTTTAGATATAAATAGAAATATCTGAATAAAAGCATGATGAGCTAGCATTATGACTGAAGGCGAAAAACAAAACAGAGGAGGTTAGAAAGTGAATAGCAATATTCGGTCACTAATGGCAACTAGTTTTAATACTGGACAGGGGTAGCTTGGATGCTGCAGATGCATCAAGCACGAGGTTTTCTGTGAGTGACTAACATCCAGGAATAGAATTTTTACATTTTCAAAAAATTAGGTCTTTCAAAATTGCTAAACCTAATTTTGACTTTAATAAAACTGTGCAGAATGATCAAGGAGGGGAAGATGGAGAGACAGGGGAGCCAGAACCTTTCAACACAAGGTCAGTTATGCAACTCTGCTGCTGCTGCTTCTGCTGTAAGTGACCAAGTACTGCACACTGATCAGCATGCTGCTTGAACAAGAGGGGGAGGAGATGGGGGTTGGA